TCAAAAGGATACGTCTGTTTGTTTGTCTGCTTCTCGACAAAGGCTATACACCTCGAAGCCACCAGTGACTTGAGTACCGCTTCCTTTCTAGCAGCTTTCGCGAGATTCATTGCTAGACGGGGATGTCCAAAAAATGTTTACTCCGACAATGGAACTAACTTTGTCGGAGCATCTCGATCTTTAAAAACCGAATTTAAAGCTTTATTAGCTTACACTCGCAATAGTAACCTATCGAAATACAACCATCAAGCACTAAGTTGGCATTTCATACCCGCTGCAGCTCCTCACATGGAGGGTTTGTGGGAGGCAGGGGTGAAAAGCTTTAAAACCCATTTTAAAAAAGTCGCATCCGACCATAAATATACATTCGAAGAGTTCAGCACTCTTTTATGCCGAATTGAGTCTTGCCTCAACTCACGGCCATTAAGTCCCTCTTCAAACGAACCGCCAGACCTGGAGCCGCTCACTCCAGGGCACTTTCTGATTGGGGGACATCTTCTCGCTCCACCAGAAATCGATGTCAATGAACATCGTGCCTCAATCGTCAATCGTTGGGAAAAATTTAAGGCCCTACATCAAACATTCTGCAAAAGGTGGAAGTCGGAATTTCACAACGAAATGCAGAAGCGCATCAAGTGGAAACATCCACAATCCAATCTAAAACAAGGGGACCTAGTAGTAATCAAAGAAGAAAACCTTTCTCCCAACGAATGGAGACTTGGACGAATAGCTAAACTACACCCAGGCTCCGACAACCGGGGTCGAGTAGTCGACATCGATACGACACAAGGCCAAATTACAAGACCAGTTGCAAAATTGGTCCTACTTCCACCGTGCAGCGAAGCCAACGAAAGTGGAGCAACTTTCCAGTAAACATCTTCAAGCACTTCATTCCACTTCAAGAAAGTCTAGCTATTCCACTCTTCAACATGATTCCAAAAGCCGTGTGCTGTTGCAAAATGCTGAGCGTTTCTGCGTTCGAATTTTAATATAATTCAGAAACACCCGCTGTTGTTAATAAACATTTATCATGTCGTAATTGTGCAATTAGCACACACAACAAATTTACGAAAATTCTACAGCAAAATTGATTGTGAAAAAATCCGAGCGCAACTCTCGAATCATGTCCATCGCCACCATTTGCAATAAAAAATTTCATCTGCAACTTCTTCCCCAAGCCCTCTTTGCCTCACAACTTCCCAAACCTTGCAATCTTTTGGTTAAATGAACACCCAATAGTGTTAACTTATTATTACAATTTATGTATTTGCTACATAAACAAGCATACTAATTTGATCTTTATACATCAAATTGGGTGTATTTCCCCGATATCAACCATAATACTCTATAAATAATTCTCGGTTCAACCGCAATCATTCGCATCATTTCATGCGCAAGGACCTCGCTGAGCTCCAATTCTCGGGCGAATTGAATGATGCAATCCGGTCGATCAGTTGCCAACACCGGTATACATTAAGACGTCTCAACAACATTTTCTGTGAATTTCCGTGCTACTCATAAAATAGAAAACTTAGTATTTCCATCACCTACCGAAACAAACCGAAGCTTCCTCATCCAAATTGTATTTTTTTAGCAGCGCGTCAATGCGGTCCAAGTGACTACGCATCACTGGCGAATAGTCCTCCAGCACTTGCAGATTCTCAACGTGCGCCTCACCCTGTCCAACGAGTTGTGAACGTGTTCGCACCCAATTGTAGATTATTTTTATTGTGCCCTGTACTAAGAACCCATGACATGGCTTCAGGGTACGCTCATATGCATTCTGCAGCTGCAGCTTCAATGCCTGTGGGTCATTGAAGGTGTTTTCGGAAAATGTACAAATCAATTGGGGACCACGCTTTAGCCATAATAGCGCATTCGCCGCAAGATTATTTACATTCACATTTAATATTATCATGCCCTCAAGGTAAGCATACAATGCTCTGCCCTTGTTGTATACCTTTGTTGGCTTCGTAATATTGCCATTCGTATCATGTACCACAGGTGTAGGTAGTTTGCCAAATGTCCCAATAATAGTAACGATTTCCGTAGCAGCTTTAAGAAAGGCCTCTGTCTCAATTTTCTCTTCAACTGCTGCTGGGAAGCCTTCAAAGGTTTTTAAATCGTATGCGTTGTGCGGACATAATTCTTTGCCTAACACTCTTGAATGTATATAATAATATGTTATTAGTGTTTTAAGAGTTTGGATAGCTATTGCATTAGCATGAAAGCGCGACTAATGCAATAGGAGCCTTGGTTTGTAAAGCAAGGCTCAAAACTCGGCAGACGAGCAATTAATGCCCTTTTTTGAGTTC